ATTTTTTCTTTCTCGAAATTAGATTTTTATGTTATATATAAATAAAAGAATCAAATCGAAGAATCGAACACCCATCTTTTCAACCAATTTTTTTTCTTCTAAAAATGGCAAAATAATCCACGTCATTTTAATTGGGTCCCACTGACCTCTTATAGTGTCATAAAAAAACAAAGATTCTAGATTTGCTTTATTTTCATAAATCATCCAAACATGGCCTTCTCCTCACCGAGCCAAATAGCTCTACCGCTACCGAAGCCTCACCGTTTCTCCTCCTTATCTCAATCGCAAATACCCTTCAAATTCATCAAAATTACGTCTTCACCCACCAATCCACCAGCCATAGCTTGTGTCCTCACCGGAAAATCAATGGATGCCGCCGCCATTCAACGACCCGATTCGTTTGGCTGGTTTGGAAAGTTCGGTGGTAAGTATGTAACCGGAAACTCTAATGCACGCTCTCGATGAGCTGGAAACTGCCTTCAATTCGCTCGCTACAGACCAGGACTTTCAGGTGTTTGATTAACTGCATTCTCGGATTGGTGATTTTGTTTCATTTCTTCGATTATTTGAATGAAATGGATATATGAAAGATACATATATAGTTTAGCTAAACTACATTGGAGGATCTAGTATATATATTTAGAATTTTACTAAATATTTCATTGTGAATCCATTTATTATTGTATATCAACTTGAAATTGTTATAGAAACTCGTAAACTTTGAATCCAGAATCCGTTTTTGCTTGCTATGCTAACTTTAGGATTTGAGATTAGTTGATATTGTTATTTTTTGACGTGCATTCAGCATTCTGTAATAAGAGTGGATCTGATTGATTGGACATTACCGCAGGCTTTACTTTTATCCTTCGAAATATGAAGAGTGAAACTAATAAAAAAAAAATTATTTTTGGTATTCAATCATGAAATGATGAAACTAGTTGACTAGTATATTCTGATATTCGAAGTCTGTGTTTGTTAACATGTTGAAATAATTGAGTAAGTTAGCTTAGACTGCAAATATCGTTGTGTGCGCGTGTGTGTTTTAATGTTTTAAGTAAATGGTAGCATCTTCCTCGAGCATAATTTCTTTGGAAACTGCAGGAGCTACAATTTTGCTGGAAATTTAGCACAATTCAAGTTTTTTTTATGATATAAAGTGCTGTAGTTATGACTTGTGAGCTTATGCTCTTGATCTCTGTTTTTTGGTATATCACGTGTAAATAAGGTAGTCCGCAACATCAACAAAATTATGTTATCTTATCAAAAAGGAATTCTCTTAACGAACTCCTAATCTTAGTAATACGAGAAATTATGTTGTATTTTGAATGAAATGGACTTGAAAAGATAGAAAGGGATATAGATGATTCAGAAGCTTGATTCCAAACTGTTTCGGAATTGAGGCGTCGCTGATGGATTGATTGATTTCAATTGTATGGCATTGTGAAGAATCGTTGACCCCTATAAAACTTCTAACTTGTTTGTACACCATTTATGCTGACTGCAGAAGGAACTAGATGGGATATTAAGAGATTATGTTGGCAGAGAGAGCCCTCTTTATTTTGCTGAGCGACTTACTGAGCATTATAAACGTCCAGATGGTGAAGGGCCAATGATCTACCTGAAGAGAGAAGATTTAAACCACACTGGTGCCCAAAAAATCAATAATGCCGTTGCACAAACTTTGCTTGCCAAGCGCTTGGGAAAGAAACGCATTATTGCCGAGACAGGGGCTGGTCAGCATGGTGTTGCCACTGCAACTGTTTGTGCTTGGTTTGGTTTGGACTGTGTTATTTATATGGGTGCTCAAGATATGGAGAGGCAAGCATTGAATGTCTTCAGAATGCGACTGCTTGGAGCTGAGGTCTGTATCAGACATTATAAATTGACGGCTCTGATCATAGCTTACTTGAGGAGAGATTGAAATTGATTAAAGATTCACTGATTAACTTGTGGTTTCACTGAAATCTCTGCACCTTCTAATAACTGGCTTGGTTATCTGCAATGACACTAACTAGTTCAATAAAATCCTGTGATTTCTTCCCTACGTTCCACAGATGAATTTCAATGTAAATGTACTGTGTTTTTCTCGCATTCATAAATTCTCAATTGCAGGAATGATTAGTAAGTGTGGTCCATAGGTACATGAACAAAAGGTTGATTGCAAACTATTGGTAAATGGGGAGAACAGAATGTGATATGAATAATAATATCCATGAACTTAGGGAGTAGGATAAGATGTATACAGACGGACAGGGGAAATCTTATTTAAAATACATGAATCTGTCAGATATTTGCAAAGTGAGAAGTTGCCCGGAGATTTTCTTGTTTTGCATTACCTACACTGCCTCTATATTCATCTCTTTTTTAAAAAATTACCCTGCCTCTATTTTGATCTGAAGACCATCTATTATTCTATTTAGGGCTTGAGGACCGTGGTTCGCTGAACCATCGCCTTTCTTTTGTTATACGTCCCTGTAAAATGTAAATGGTTAAGCTTCTTCCTTTTTCCCTCTTTATTCTTGGGATAGATTACATAATTTTATCTTATACTTTGTAAGAGATCTTTCCATTGCATTCAAATCACTCTATTTAATTACGTCTCCCAAAATTAACATTGCAGGTTAGAGCAGTCCACTCTGGAACTGCTACGCTCAAGGATGCTACTTCAGAAGCTATAAGGGATTGGGTTACAAATGTTGAAACAACTCACTACATACTTGGATCTGTTGCAGGACCACACCCTTACCCCATGATGGTTAGGGACTTCCATACTTGGCGTGTGTGTGGGGGGGGGGGGGTTTTGTGATAAACATAGGGTGTAAATTTTTTCTTCTGATTTTTTGTTTAAGAATTCCACATAGAGATTGAGAAGAATAACCAATTGAAATTCTAAGTTCTCCTTCAGGCCCCTTAAGGATTGATTATCTGTCTCTGCCTCACTGTGTCGCACTCTTTCGTTGACTGTTGACAGTTTTCTTGTTGCCTTTGAGCTTATTGTCGGAATAGTTCCACTTTGGAAAGTTCTTTTGCAACTTTTGGCTGCTAATGAGCTCCCCGGAATTTTGTATTCATGAATGTGCTTTTAGTTCTTAATTTGTCTGAGTCAATTTTCTTGTTATTCGTGTTTCGTGTGACGTTTTTGTTTCCAAGTTAATAGGTTTTATTTGCCAAGCTTTACAACTTGCACTTTCTCGCCTGCACATGATAACACAATCTCCTCAGTATAAATTTTTGTTTATAAGATTAATTTAAGGGGAGATATAGGAGCTTGTGTTATGTGTGTCTTGGTTTGTCACTTTGCTTTATCTACTATGTCCATTAAAAAGAAGAAAATGCAATCTACTTATGTAACCTCATGTTGTTTCCTTCCGTGGTTTTGCAGAACTCTGCACTTGAAGGTTTGCTGCTTCCCGAGCTACTTTTGTTATTGATACTCAGAAAGGCATAATGGCTGTTTGTGGTTCAAGGACTCATATTGGCCATTTCGTTGGCAATATGACTGCTAGGCGCCTGCAGTGTAGTTTGTCAGTAAAGAGTTGTACTGTTTCTTACAACAAAAGAGGCTTTCAAAATGTTAGTAAAGCTAACATCAGTTTGGGAAACAAAGGACGGCCCAATAACTTCATGCTTTACCAATATTTCACGACTAATGTTGCAAAGAGGAGGACTAACCTCCATCCACACAAAGGCTTTGGATTGGAAGGTTTTCACAATTTATCCCATGAATGTTTCTTTTCTGGAACTGCCTCTGCTTCTAATGTGTCTTCTGATAATTCTAAGGGCACGGAACAAGTTGTGGATGTTGTTAATTCTTCTGAAGCAAAGATCCCCTTGCAGCTAGACTCGGGATCCTTTTACCTACCTCATCCTGCTAAAGCAAAAACTGGTGGAGAGGATGCTCATTTTATTTGTACCCTTACACCAGCAATCGGTGTAGCTGATGGTGTTGGTGGATGGGCAGATCTTGGTATTGATGCTGGACTATATGCTCGTGAATTGATGTCTCACTCTTTATCTGCAATTAAAGATGAACCAAAAGGTTCTGTAGACCTAATCAGGGTGCTGGAGAAAGCTTACGTGAGAACAAAAGCAAAAGGCTCTTCTACAGCGTGTATCGTTGCACTCACTGAAGGGGGTCTTTATGCAGTTAATTTAGGAGATAGCGGATTTATGTTGGTTAGAAATGGTTGTGCTGCATTTAAATCCCCTTCACAACAGCATGGGTTTAATTTCCCATATCAACTAGATTGCAGTAACACAGGTGATTCACCTAGCTCCACCATGGTGTTCAAAATTACTGCTCTACCTGGAGATGTCCTAATTGTCAGTACAGATGGGCTTTTTGATAATTTGTATGATGAATATATCAGTGGAGTTGTATTTCAGGCCATGGAAGCTGGCTTAGGTCCTCAGATGACTGCTCAGCGGATAGCAGAACTTGCACAACTAAGAGCAATGGATCATACTAAGTCTTCGCCTTTCTCTGATGGAGCTCGTGAGGCTGGATTTGATTACCATGGTGGGAAGCTGGACGACATCACTGTAGTTGTTTCTTACATAACAGAGTAAAATTGAAAATTCATACCATGTTGCAATTTTCAGAGACACCATTGGAACAGAATCAACAGGTGGATGGAGGAGAGTCATACAATACAGCAACCCATAAATCCGAGGCATCGGTTAGAATTTTGGCATTTTGATTTGTGTGTAAAACAAAGACAAGAATGAGAAGGCTGCCGCAGCATCTTGGGTCTAGCTTAGTTCACCTCAGTTTGATACAAGTGTTTTACTTTATGAAATTCAAATAGTATGTTGGAATCATTAACATTTATTTGATTAAGGATTTTCTTCTGTATTTTTGTTCACTTGGTAGATGCCTTATTTGGTACATGATATTAGTGTTCATTAAATTAATACCTGTTTGCGGGCATGTAAGCTCTCTGGAAAGTGTTAATACTGTTAACAGTTGAGTTCTTCATGAAATCAGGACAATGACACTGTTAAGAGATACAAACTCCATTTCATTTTCAGCTCCCACAGATGCTCCAAATTTCTTCCTACCCTCAAAAAAGGACATGATTGAGCATCAACTCTAAAAATTTAAAACCAATTTGGATAAATTGTCCAAATTTGGACATGATTGAGCATCAACTCACAAATATGGACGCAAAGATGCGCCGCGGCCTAGTTAACAGAGAAAAACAAGGAGAAATGAAAAACTACTTAGGTGAAGTTCAGAATAGATTCGTCTTCACATTTCCACTAAAAAGTAAACTGAAAAATGGATCTTCTTTATCTACACCAGAATTATCACCCTTTTCTGTTCTATGAATATCAAACCCCAACTCATTGTTTGTTGACACTTTGGGTCTTTTCACTGAAACAAATGCAACACTATTTCTTGATCCGTGTTTGGCTTTGGCAGGATTCTTGTCGGGTGATGTACTTGGAAGTGCTCCGGCTTCAGGAGTATCAAAATTATTGCCTGAAGGTCCTGCAATAGTTGAATCAACTTGAGCTCGAGATTCATCATTACTATCTTGGATAGGATCCTCCAAGGAATCTACTATATCGTTGTCCTTTATAGTTTGACCATCCTCAGCCGAATCTTTAGAGGCCGTCTGTCCAGGTTTGTCATCTACACAAGATCCCAGAAAAAGTTACGTACAAAATTATAGACGAATAACACTGGATTTCAGCAACAAATGAAGAACTTGATCGTAGGGAGTAAGAAGCACTAGATATATGAATACACTAGAAAGATATGCAACAGACACTTCTTCCATGAACTTTATTGTCAAACTGAATGACTAAAACTGGTGTCAGGTACGCTGCCTACACTACATCCCCTGGGTATATGGCCCTTCCCCAAATCATATGTGAACACCGGATGTTTCGTGCATTGGGCTGTCGTTTTTAATGATAAAAACTGGCAAACAGAAAAACTCTGGATATTACTATCTCAAATGGAATCATCACGTGCAACCTTGAGTTCACTTCTATCTCAGACTGATAGAATGACTTGATAAAGAAAACAAGACAGTAAAAAGAAATTGTGGTTCATGGTTACCTCCTAGGAAAAGCTCAATGCTTTCATACTGAACCTTAGATGCTTCTACAGAAACATCTTCTCCAACCTCCTTTTCCTGGCTTCCGACATCTTTCTGATTTTGTCTCTCAACTAAAATATACTTATCAGATTCCCATATACATTCGAGGAAGATCACCTGCTGCTTTGGCGGAAAGTATTCTCTAAAAATCTGCAATGCACAAATTATTGAGCATTTGCTTCTTTGATTTCATCTTAGAGTTGTTATTAACAACTATCAAGGAAGTACTATCAATTTTCCTATCTCATCATTGGACTTGTGAGAAGAATAATTCTCATAAATTTTCCAACCATTTCTTGACATTAACAGAACTAATTTAACCAATCAAAAAAGCAAGTAAACAAAGGGGATATAAGGAAGGAAATAATTTACTGCATTGCATCAGAAAAACAGAGAGCAGTCAGTAGCAAAGAAAAAACCTCAAATCCATCTTGAGTCAATTTTATGGCTTGTTCCCTCTGAGATAAAGAGGAGACATTGTTGAATACACAAACAACATCAAGAAGCATCTGCAATGAACAAAGAAAATTTGGTTAGAATTTCCTATTCAATTACCAGAAATCCTAAGGAAATTTGCTCAACATAAGCTTTTCAATTCCTTAAATATTGCATGCTCTAAAAGAGCAAAATTTTCAGGTCATACATGACCCATTCCCCTCTTGAATTAGATTAGTTTCTCTATTTAATAAGCTCCAGAAATTACCATGACTCCAGTGTATTCTACTGGAAACTAGAACTTCAACAAACTCAAATTTCAAAAGAACACAATCCATGTGCAAGACCTTTATTATTATAAGTATGACTAAGGAATGAGCTTTAAAATGGTGCCATTCTTCATGAGTTCACATAACATTTCACACTTCAGAAAATGATAAAATTATCCTGAGAATGCTTACTTGCTGAACTAGAACTCTAATTCGGGCAAGCAAGGACAATACTGTCAGTGAAAATCCCATAAAAAATGATCGTGCAAGAAGTGTTGATATCTCCCTGTCTACTGTTAAGGGTAAAAAACAATCATACATGGCTAACAATCCACATTGGAATTTGCATTAAACAGGCACAATGATTGAGTGTCTACTTTGAAATGAAAAGCAATCCGCACAAGGTGAAAAACAAAGTCAACCTACAAATGAGACAAAGACTATACATATGAAATTATGAAGAAATGGAAAATAAAAAGGAAGAAAGGAGGTACAATAAATATCCAACTACACCAATTTATCAAACCAATATGTTTACAGAGAATTAGCTGTGCAAAAATCTAGTAATTTGAAGAACAGAAAAGGTTTGCTATATGCACATAAGTAAGCACTCACGGTGTTTACAAAAACACCCTGATTTTACTCCAATCACCTACACACCCTAAGAATTATGAAAGAAAATGAACAACTCAAGCTCTGCTCTTCCTATTACTTAAAGATTTAAAAAGTCTAAAAGGAAATCACCAATGGCATTAATGGCCATCAACTTCCATAAGTGAATCTTATCCCATAATCAACATATAAAAGGAAGTATTAATATGCAATAAAAAAAAAAGCAAGAAGGATACGCAGCGGCCCTTAACATTGGCTCAACCATCTGCAAGAAAGAACAAGTGAATTAGGAATTACTACTTCATAAAATGATGACTTCAAGTTTTCCTTGTTGTAATATGATTCTTATTAAGCCCCGTATGTTAAGACACTTGATTCAATAGAGAGAGAGAGAAATCATCATTCCTGTAGTTATATGGAATAACAATAACTATGCATCAATCGATTCAATCCTAGGTGAATTAGAGTCAGCTACATGAATCCTATTATTCCATTAAGACTCGTCTCTATTCAATACCTTAGGTACTCTAAATAGAAGTCATCTATATTTTCTACTGGTAAACGTTCCTTGGAGCAATGATAAGTTTTCTCCATGTGACAAGGTTCGAGCCCTGGAATCAACCACTAAAGCTTGCATCCGGATAGACTACCTATATTAAGGGGTGCGAGTGCGACCCTTTCCAAGTCCCAACGTGAATGTATAATGCTTCATGCACCGGACTGCCCTTTTAATAAATGAAAACTAGGGCGTATTGCCAGTAAATGCTAGCAGGAGATTTCGCTAACATGGTAAACTGAGACTGGCGATTCAATATCATGAGTTACTTTACAGACTTGGATGAGTGGTTTTAGATGCAGAACAACAAGAAGTAAGAACAAAAGAAACAATGATACCTGAGACAACAGGTGTGCAACCCCTGAAAGACGCTCCAGAAAGTTATATTTGCCACCATTAGATCTTCTCCTCTTTAGGCTGAGGCCAATAGAAAATGAGGGTGAAAGTTCCATATATATAAAATCATCATAAGTTAGAAAGCAGCAGTGAAAGTTTGTATGTATAGTTTAATGGAAGAGCAAGACATAAATAATGGCAATTCTATTTCCATGACAGTGGGATCAGTAAAATTAATCTCGCTTGTTATTGGTTAGAGTATTACCCTCCAATATGTCGGTTAATGAAATGATGGATAAAACTTGCAAAAATATTGTTATAGGTCACATAAACAACAATTTTTAACAACATGATGGTAGACTATTTAATTAAACAAATGGTAGAGCCAGGCAACATTCAAACATCATAATCAGCAAACATTTGCACTTGCAAACAATACAAAGAGATTGATGATTATTGATAACAATCATATATGTAAGGAAGGCAATTTCAGTAAGCTTCCCTATAGGTCTGTTCAATTGTTTCACTGACAGAAAGTGGTAGACATCAATATAGGAGTAGAAAAATGCAAGAGTATGAGGAGCGCTCATCTCCAATCAAAATTTACTCATTGACAGATATGAAAAGGTGGTATACATTTATGATGTAATCAAAATTCCAAAACTTGGCATATGATCACTACAAAAACTATAATAATAAAAACCTTAAAACAAAATGTAGGTACTTTAAAGGGGTCTAAAGTACCTTCCCAAAAGCTGCACTTTTTGCTTGGGTCTTTTTCCGTTAAGAACTTGAAAGGAGGCACTCAAAACCTCCTCCAAGTTAGCTGTTTGGAGGAGTCTCACATCTCTTCGCACCTAATATTATCATCAAAACAAACATATAAAGTAAGCATTGCACTTAGGACAAAAAGCAAATCCCATCAATACCCCCTATGCAGATAATATATATACATGAATAAACCTTGGTAACAACTTTTGAGGGGTATTGGAAATAGGAACATCTTCTATGATAGTTCTTTGTGTTTAAACAAAGCAAGGCCCATTACAACAACAACATACCCAGTCTAATGCCATAGGTGAGGTCTGAGGAGGTTAGTATGTACACAGACCTTTACCCCTACGCATTGTATAGACCAAAGCAAAGGTTATGTTGCTATCGACACCTAACCAATTAACCAAACGTATAATCGTTCGAGATCGAATCTTATGCAATTGTGGAATTCCATTCAAATAGAAAGCTTTTTGGCCAGTTCAAAGACAGACGTGAACCGTCGTAAAAGATAGTAGCGAAAAGAAATTCCCATAGTTGCATAAGGGGGATGTTGAAAACATTCCAGCAGATAGTATGCAATACTCTTATCAAAACGAGCACTATACTCTTTCTTAATTTAGGGCAGAAACATACACAAGGAACACAAAGCTAAGAGGTTGTTTCTAAAAGACCATTGGTTCAAGTAACGCATACCAAACAGAAGTAAAGACAAGGAACAATAGCCAAATAATGTGATAACCAAAGCACATGAAACAACGAATAATAACAGAAATCGTAAGACAAGAAACTACGAGAATAAGCTCATTACACATGCATATATGAAGAAATATTGGTAAACATACAACCTTTAAGAGGTACTGAAAATATGAGCATCTTCTATGCTGGTTTTTGTTTTGTAAACGAGACGATCGAGAATGGCAAACTCTGTATGGAGCTGACTTACAAAAGTATTTAGCCTCTGCTCAACTACTTCCATCTCGGAGCCCATAATTTCAGCTGTAACAGAGAAAAACTATAATAAGACTTCATAAATTTAGAAACTAAGTAGACAGTAAAAATACTTATGGCGGCGGCGGCGGCGATCGTCGACCGGCGACTAGTGTGCTCCGAGCGACGGAGCAATAGGTGTTCGGGTTGAATTCGTCTGAGAAATGGGCTAAGGAAATTTGATGGATGTGATAGGCTAAATGGGCCAAAGCCTAAGGGTCATATTCATTGGCCTGATCCATAGTTTCATTTATAGCCATTTTTTAAATGGTCATTGCCCTATTGGTACTTATGACCTTTACTTTGTGTCGGTCTTTAACTTATGTTTCTCATTAAAAAAAAAAACTTCTTTACGGGATATAAGTATATATTTTTCGTATTATGATATTTCTCAAGTTATATTTTATTTGACTTCAATTTCTAAAGAATGTATGCTTCAGTAGAAAAGATATAATATCTTTTTTATTTTAAAATAAAGTGATTTTTTCCATTTTTTAATTAAAAAGTATGAAAGTTAAAAGGATAAAAATGTTCAAAAAGGTAAAATACCATTTTGGCCAAATGTTCTGGCCAAAAGGATTTTTCCTTAAAACTAATACTACTAGATTTGAGTGTTGTATACTAAGGGTAAAAACAAAAGCGATTATTAGGTATGGAGAGGTAAATTCTGAATTTATAAACTTAGTTCCGTCCTTGACTTTTCCCTAACGACGAGAATAGTTAAAATATAGTATATAAACTTATTCCTTTTTTAAAAACAATTGTAATGAACTTCTCTATTTTCTCTTAAAATTTAGAATTATGGTATTATAATTATAAAATTCTAGAAGCCAACACTAATTAGCGGATTAAACAGACAATTGTAGAAGTCAAATGTCTTAATCAACTTTGTAATGAATATAAAATAAGACACAAATTAATTACGTGAGATTCTTCAATCAACCATTAAATAAAACTATATAAAAATAAAATAAAACTGACTTTAGTTCATATTTTAATTATCTAAAGAAAAATAATTCATGCATGTATTATTTTATAATATAATAAATAGAATTTAGGTAGAAGGCGTGACCATGAAGAATCCAACATGCCACATATCATTAATTTATGTGGATAAAATTAAAACTGAAAACGATCTTCTAGCTAATTGAATGATTAATTATTTAATTTACCTAGAACAAAAAATTAATGATTTGTTAAGAAAGTATTTTTTTTTTTTGGGTCATGTTTGCTACTTTCATTAATTCATTTAGGGTAGTAGGGGTAGGTACATTCAAACTTCCAAAATGGACTTTGGTTGATAGCTATTACAAATTAAATCACCTAACTTTAGATATTATAATAAAGTCATTGTGTTGGTTGCAATGTTTGGAACTTGAAGAAAAATGAAAAGTTAAGTATAGTGGTACCAAACCTAGAAGAATGATTTATCAACAATAGATAGATGTATTAATAGAAGATTGTTGTTATAGCTCGATACTTAATATTGATGATCTGAAATTGATAAAATATTCAGTAGAATAATTAATGTGTTCGAAAATTCTAGTGAAACATGAGTGATTATACGTTATTCTTTTTTTAATTTAGTGATAAATTTTAAGATTGTAAATTTAACGGTGAGTATGCATAAGATGCTTTCAAAGACAAGACGAAAATTACATGTCCAAGAGCATCAAATAACTCTTGAAAGAGTAAAAAGACTTCACATTGTATGAGTTGCTCGTGCGTCAACTATAGAAGCTTTGATACAAACCATAACCTTTATTTTGGTCACATTGTAAATTATACATTTATACTATGCGTAAGGGTAAAGGTCGTGCGTCACAGTGTAAATTACACTATGCGTAAGCTCGTGCGTCACATTGTAAATTATACGTTTGGTTAATTGGTTAGGTGTCGATAGCACCATAACCTTTGCTTTGGTCTATACTATGCGTAAGGGTAAAGGTCTGCGTACATACTAACCTCCTCAGACCTCACCTATGGCATTAGACTGGGTATGTTGTTGTTGTAATGGGCCTTGCTTTGTTTAAACACAAAGAACTATCATAGAAGATGTTCCTATTTCCAATACCCCTCAAAAGTTGTTACCAAGGTTTATTCATGTATATATATTAT